GCCCTCAAGGGTGGCCGATGTTTTTTTTTGGGGGGGGGGGGGGACGTCAGTATAAAAATTGCCGGGTGAAGAAGAAGGGGGGGCGGAAAATAGGTCTCACTAGATAGATTTGCCGTGTTGAACTGTGAAAATTGCACAGCTCGCAAGAGACTAAACACACATACACTGCGCCGGTCAGCCCAGCGCACAAGGTATCCCAAATCGTCTCACCTGTCCACTTACACGACACCAATGCAGAGGATAAAGGTGATGCCAATCTTCTGCCTCTGCCGGATTTGCAAGTGCCAGATGGTCGGGATGGGGATCGAAAGCATCGCAACATCCATGGCCACGGCCGTGCTCGCAATGATTTTGCTCTCAATCATGTACAAGTCATTGTCGACGCACCAGCCGCCCTCTATCGTGCGGTCCCAGTAGTACGCGACAGGCTTGCAGAACCATATCGTGTAGAAGAAGTTGGACGCACCCCAGATGACGACGAGAACGGCAAGGATATCCAACGCGGCGCGAGCTGTGCGGTTCACGCCAATGACTCGACGGAGGAACAGGATGATGGCGAGCTTGGCGAATATCATCGACGCCGACCAGAACTTGATGACGAGCCAGGAGCCCTGACAGTGTTAGCCGGGACATGATGTCAAGCGTAGTGCAAGAGAAGAAAAAAACTGCACGCATACTAGTTTAAACTTGACTTGTCTGTAATGCGGGAGGTCCTTGTCCGGTACGCCGATGCCGTTGAAGGCCTCTAGACGTGTGAATTAGCGCCATGGTCCAAAGGGTTCAATGTTTGCCAAAGCAACAACGGGCTTCGAGCATCACACGGGACGCACTCAGCAATACAGACGCCGTGTTTCCAATCATGAGGAGCACGGCACAGCCCATGAAGAAATCCTCCACCCTCACCCGCCGCGCCACAACCATGGTCGCGTATACCCTCAGCACATACGCAATCGTCGCCAGCACAGCAAACGTCAAGGGAACCGCCGTGTTGACCCTCCTCCAATACGCAGCCTCCTCGGACTCTGGAAAGTCTCGAGCTATCATGGCCGCCGTGCCCGCTGTCGAGGTTGTTGCAGAATCCGCACCACACAAAGTCCCCCGCCGCCATAGACAATATTCCCTTCTCTTGTTTGTTCTTTCGGGGAATTTCTATTTCACCAGCCCCTCATCAGAGTTGTTTCATTCGGGTCCTTTAAAAAACAAGAAAAATAGCCGTATCCAGGGACAGACGCATGATACGTCCCTTTTCACCGGCGGAAGCGAAGTTGTAAATGGGCAGAAACCCGCGACACTACTTACCGCGGAAGAGTTATTCATGCACGGACAGCAACGGATGCGGGTGTATAAGGTAGCAACCACTGTGTAAGATTTACTCAGCCGGTGTGCGACTGCACATGCACCCCAAGATTGCAACTGTAGTCTCACCCTCTTTTTATGAAAAAATGCCCTTATCATCATGGGGGCTCACCACCTGCTGAGGCAAAATGGAACAAGGCTACCAATCTGACCGAGTCCTGGAGACCGTGGCGCATCGATGCCACCGCAGCTCTACACCTTTTTTTCAACGCAGTCACCCGTCTTGGGACCGGGCCTCTTGCCTGAAGCGTCGAGGCGGCATCCAAAGGGACATGATACATGTTGGAAGAGGGCAAGAGTTGCGCTTCAGCCCGCTGTATAACTCTGGCGTCAGCGACGGGGGGAAAAAACAATCCACCAGAACACTCTGCGGAGTATCGACACCGCGGCCCGGGGTTTTGATATCCCCTCACACTCGGGGTGGCCCGGTGAGCGAGATCGACAACGGAATTCGTTACAAACGGCCTAGTTCCCTTCTGCAAGTGTGTCCCTCCATGAGGCTAGGCCGGCAGGGCTGGGGTTGCGCTGAACCGCAACACCCTGGGAATATTGGGGGCGCATAGAGCACGCACCGGATGGCGCTCCCCGGTATCTCGTCTGTCAGCCATGTGCTAGAGTTTTTTTTAGTTTTTTTTGTCCCCTGTGTTTAGAGTTGGTGAGAGGACCCCTTGGGACACAGACACTGGACCCGGTCGTTGTTGACAAGAAGCTTGGATGGTGGAGATGGAGAAGAGGGAAAGACAGAGGCATCAGGCAACGGTGCAAGAAGACAAGGTATATGCACTTGAGGAGTTGCCAGTACCAAGATGATGCTTCAAACGGTACCGAACGGCAGCAAGCCTCCCACTCCCGTTGTCGCACAGCCAGTCAGCGTCCAACTTCTGCCAACTCGGCAGATGCCAAATACTACCTCACATTCAAACACGCCGCGTGGCAACGACTCGTGCTGTTGAGTCGAGGGGACGAATATCGGCTCTCGTTGGTCGCCTGCAAGGTTCATCCAACTCCGAGTGCGTCTCTTCCCACCCTTCCCGGGAGCAAAAAGAGGAGGGTTGTTGGTTGCTGTTGGTTCAGACATGTCAGCACGGTTACACCCTGCCTGTGACTTGTCTTGCTTATCTTGAGAGCCCAAAAGCCTCAAACTCCCCTCGCGTACCCCCTTGCTGACAGCCATGCATCACGGGTGGGCGTAAGCGATTTCCCCGAGACCTCCGCTGCTCACGCTGCAGCCAAGCGGTCCTGGACAGCGTTCAGTACGACACGGGCTGCAAGGAAAAAGCCAAACAAAAATTGCGCCTTCTAGAACATTTCCAACTGCGAGGGTACGGTGTATATTTGGGCAACAACAGCATCCGATTCGGGTTGGGAAGACGACCATTCGATATCCACGCGACCGGGCAGTCGTATCGATTTAACAAAAAAAGCCAGTTCGGCATCTTTCTTTCCCCTTCGCTTCTCGCCATCATCACGCGCATTCACGTATTGGTCTCCCGGCGGTCAGCGGCGAGCGGGCGGTGGCTGACAAAAGAGCGATCCCGTCACGAGGGGACACCCCCCGATTTCCCCAGCGTTCCGGCCGCCACGCAAGAATCCTTTTGATCTCCACCGGGCCGTATTAGTGCCCGCGGATCTTTGTGTATGTAGTGGCCAGGCAAGGCAAGTTTGGTCGTTTTCCCAAGGTTTGCAAGCTAGAACTAACCATCAGCTCTCCAGGTGTTTCCCCTGATCACCATGCGGCCTGCGCCTTCAAAAGGGGAACATGGGGGATACGGCTCTTCGTGGGACTCGCTCCGGTGTAATTACCCAGGGACCACGTTCTTGAGACTTGTTTGCTCGCAGTCCAACATGGTTGACTGTGGGCGAGCGGTGTTTAAACCGGAGACCACGGCCCTTTGCTGGAGACGGGGTGTGCGGTGCGCAGATGCAGTTGGAATATATATAGTCGTTCACAGCGTTGGGAGCTGTGTGCCGGTGGTATAGCCGTTGTCTTCTCAAATTTTGTATTTTCTCTTTTGTTTTTTTGCTTTTGTTGTCTCGGTAGCCGTCTCGGATCTGTTGACAAACGGCTCCGAACAACAGAACCAAATGGCACGCTCGACGATTACACTCTGCAGTCTCCTGGCGAGCGCAGCTATTGCAGCCGGAACATGGACGCCCAGGCAGATTCGAGAGCTGAACCAGACGCTAGGGGGCAGAGTGAAGGTCCTAGAGCCCTTTGCACGGCCGTGCTTCTCGATATACGAGGACCGCGACGCCGGCCGCGACGCCGACAAGTGCCGTGAGCTGCAGGACAACTACTCGTCGCCCACGTTCCGCAGCCAGTTCGCCGGCGCGTACATGTACGAAGAGTCGTCCATGTGCGCGTCCAACACGAGCTCCTCGGACAAGTGCCTCCTGGACGCGGCCAACCCGCGGGACGAGGCCGCATACCGCGGCGTCAGCTGCAACCAGGGCAACCTGCCGGCGTACTACGTCGAGGTCCGGGACGCCAACGATGCCGTCGAGGCATTCCGACACGCCGGCAGAGGCGGCGGGAAGCTGGTCATCAAGAACAGCGGGCACAGCTTCCAGGAGGACTCGAGCCAAAAGGGGGCCCTGATGCTCTGGACGCGGCACCTGCAGTCTCTCGTCCGCGACGAGAAGTTCGTCCCCGAGGGATGCCCGGCCCATGACACGTACAACACAATCACGACCGGCGCCGGCGTCAACTGCGGCGAGGCATACGCCTTTGCCGACAAGCACAACGCCACCATCCTGTGCGCGTACTCGCCAACCGTCGGCCTCTCGGGCGGCTGGGTGCAGAACGGCGGCCACTCCGTCATGAGCACGACGCTGGGGATGGGCGCAGACCGCGTCGTGCAGTTCACCGTCGTCACGCCCGACGGCCGCCTCCGCGTCGCCAACCGGTGCAAGAACGCGGATCTCTTCTGGGCCCTTTGCGGCGGCGGCGGCGGCACCTTTGGCCTGGTCGTCGACTCGACGCACCGCGTGGAGCCGAGGATGGCCGTGGCCGTGGCATCCGTGGCCGTCGACGCCGGCAACCGGGATCATGTTTACGGCTTCATGGAGGCGCTGGTCGACACGGCGCTGGATCTGGCCGGCGACGGATGGGGCGGCCACATCTACGGCAACAGGATCGTCTACGTGACGCCCGCGATCCAGAGTCTCGCCCGCGCGAGGCAGTCCGTGGCCAGCATCGTCCGGTTCGCCGGTGAGCACGGCGGCTCGGCCAACGTCAGCATCGCGCCCAGCTTCTACGCCTTCTTCGACGAGTACGTGCTCGGCAGCGCCTTCAGCGTCGGCACGCTCAGCATCCTCAACACGCGCCTGGTGCCGGCGACGGTGTTTTCCACGCCCGCCCTCGCCGCCAACTTCAAGCGGCACCTCCGCGCCGTTGTCGACGCCGGCGGCCTGCCGTACGTGCCCGTCGTCGGGCCCTACATGTACCACGCCGCCACCGAGGGCACGTCGATGCAGCCGGCGTGGAGGACGGCCCTCTGGGAATACGGCAATCCCGCCGCCTGGACGTGGAACAGCACGCTTGACGAGCGTCTCGGCGTCGTCAGGGACATGCAGAGGCAAACCGCTGAGCTGGTGTCTCTGACTCCTGGCGGCGGCACGTACCGTAACGAAGCCAACCCGTTCAACCCCGACTGGAGGCGCGAGTACTACGGCACTCCGTACGACCGGCTTCTTCGTATTAAGAACAAGTATGATCCGGCAAGGCTCCTCAATTGCTGGAAATGCATTGGGTGGACTGACGAGGATGCGAAGCAGTCGTGCTACAGCGCGTTTGAAGGTATCGAGGCGTAGGGTTGATGGTCTGCTGGGGGTTGAGAGCGTTGCCTGTATATGTAAACATAATGCAAATATCTCATTTTGATTTGCCTCTTGGTTTGTAAAAATTTCATCGTGTTTGATTATATTCGGTCAGATGTGTACTTGACGTACCGTGGTGACGCATGGTAATGAGACTGAATCACCAGCCAGGACGCCTTCACCACGGCTAGCCGTAATCGACTAAAAGCATCATCAGCATTATTACTCGACATTACACGCAAAATACTCTTTGAGGTCAAATTAGCCATACTCACACGTTGGGCCTGTAGGTTGTCGTGCCATTCTCCGCAAGCCGGTAGTAGCTATAGGGTAGTTACACCGGTTCGCGCCGGCGTTGTACTCAGCTTCACCTCGACACGCCGATTCACGGTCAACGGCTATCCGCAGCATCACCCTCACACCCGTCATCAATCTAGCCACGTCCTCCTTAATACAGGTCAAAGCGAAGCCCTACAAAAGGCAATATCCAAAGAAACCCGCCGCGCCACCGGCGGGGCGCGCCCC